ATGTAGCCTAGGACCATAGGTGAAGTAGATGCAACTGCAGACGCGATCAGCGCAGTTCGCATAGTGAGAAGAGGAGTCGGAAAGGGCTAAGTGCGGTTTGAAACATATTTGATTAAATAATAGTAATACTACTTAAAATGATTATTAGCATATTTTTATAGCATTTATATCCAGTTTGGGTCGCAAGAACGTGCCGAAGACCTTGCCAAAGACAACGTTATCAAACTAAGCAAAGGCGCGCTTGATTAGATACAAGCTCGACATTGGGGATTTGACCACCTTCAGGCAGTGGAGTGATGACTTCAGTGAAGGCGTGAACCACACCCCCAGATCCTTCTGAGCCTGTGTCTCTGGCAGCGGCGTGTGATTCAGGTACTACACCCTCCGAGACGCAGTGCTGGTTCTACCGAATCGCATTAAGTGCAGTTTCAGTTTTTTGAGGGAGAAGTAGGCGAGCGCCTTTGACTGCCCTATTGGTAAAAAGACGATAGGAAATATATGGATAAAAGGACAAGTTTAAAAAGTACGTCAATTCCATGTTGCGGGTGAATACACAGCAGTTATTGGGTAGTTGAAATAGTAATCAAACATGACTACTCACTCATCGCAAGTAGTATACTGTAATGTAACGCCCGTATTGCCTGACATTCTCGTTAACTGGTGGCTGTGGAATCATGTGTTTGGTGCATGTCCAGTCTGCTCTTAAATGAATTCACACAGGTGGAGAGAAAAACCTCTCCAGGAAGGGCGTTCCACGCTGCGACTTCTCAGTTGTTGAAAAAGAATTTTCTTCCATCGATTCTTGCTTTTCTGGGGCGTAGTTAGAGGGGATGACCGCGCTAAGTTGGTGTATTAATCTGGGTAAAGAAATTATCGTGGTCAAAATAAAAATCCAGGTTATTAATAATACGGAAGGTAAGTATGAGGTCCCCACGTAGTTGTCTATAAGAAAGGGAAAATAGGTCGAGGGTTGACAGTCTACTTTCACAGGATAGTGTTCTCAGACCTTCGATCATTTTTGTCGCTCGCCTCTGGACCTTCTCTAAGACGGTACAGTCTTTGCCAGTCCAAGATCTACAAGCCTGCATAGCGAATTCCAGGTGCGGCCGAACAAGGCTTCCAAATATTTTGGTAAAGCTCTCCTTTTCAAACCCCATAAAAGCTCGTCTTATCAGCTGTTATATATATCTGGCCAACTTCGCCGTCTTCGTACGTTTCAGCGTTGGTTTGATTAAAGAAGTAATCCACACACCCAAGTCCTTCTGACTCTCAACTTGTTGCCGTGGTGTACCGTTAAAGGTATAGACCTTCGTGCTGGATGCTGTACAACTGCCGATTTGAAGAAAATTGCATTTACTAACATTGAAAGGCATAAGCCAATGGTTTGACCAGTCCTCCAATCTGTTCAAGTTAGCCTGCAGATGGTTTTCATCTGCCGTATTTTGGACACATTTTCATAATTCTATGTCGTCAGCGAACAAGGTGACATCACTGTCCAGGTCCCTGACACATTCGTTGATGAAAGCAAGGAATAATCTAGGACCTAAAACTGAACTCTGTGAATCAGCACTCACCACAGGTATCCCCGAGGATTGCTGGCGACCGACATGTTCTCTTTGGGACCGTCCCGCCAAAAGTGTTTTGGATTCAAAGGAAGAGGGTCCCGCGAACGCCTGCGCTGCGCGGTTAATGCTGGAGACGTTGATGGAGGACGCTGTCGACTGCCTTTTTGAAGTCAATGTAGATGGTTAGATAGATAAGTTATTGGTTAATGTTGTTATCCGATAATTTAGTACCCGATGCGATGGCTTCTTGCGTGTCATTATTGTTCACTATCCTTAATTAGATTCAGCTAAAGCAACTAGCGAATGCCTGAAAAGCAGAAAGAATTTGTTCTTACATTCGGAGTGTTATAATTACCTTTTTCTAATGCAGGCTTTTAATTTTCTTCTTCACATATTTTAAAATCACTAAAAAGTCTACATGATCTGCCTGGAATATGACCATAGTTTCATTGTTGATATGGTTCCAATCCTGCTCCACAGAAGTCCAAATTAAAGGTAGGGCTGTTTTCCCGAAATTGCGTATTTTGGTTGGGATTGAGGGATTCAGATAATAATAGGCTCGGCCACTTATTAGGCCTTACATTTCCGTTGTGAATTCTATATTAACTAATTTCAGAAAAATCCATTTTTTGAACCGTTTTTCCCATTCAAATATACTTTTTTTCAAATTCTGACGATGTGATTCAAGATCAGCAAGTACAGTTTCTTTCAAACCACTGATAGAAACCAGTGTCCCCCATTGTATCCGAACATCTGTAATTTTGTTATCTGCGATGGAGAAGGTTTTGTTCTAGCTTGTGGGCAGCAACAGGCACATCGATGAGGATAAATAGGAGATGAAGAAAGCAGAAGATAGTTCATTTTCCGTACAGAAGCGTAATTGTTTTTATCCCGTTTAGTAAATGGATCCCTTTATATAGCTTCTGAAACCAATAGCCGTTAAGTAACAAAAAATCGTCTGAGCTGTATTCGGGTTGTAGTTAACGACTAGTGTAGACAATGCCGTATGTTTCATCATTCAAACGCAAAGGCCGCCAAGCTCCTCAAGTCTTTGTGAACAGGGATGTTGCTTATGCCAATAGAAGTGAATATGCAAATTCTAGGTAGCAGTTCAGAAGAAGAAGATGCGACCACTGAAACAAACTTTTTATTTTCCTGATGTTTTTGGGTTCTGTGGAAAATCCTTAATCCTAGGTAATCGTAGGATAGTCTGGGCCATGTGCAGATAGGGGTGACACATGCACAGATTGCACGGTATTTATAGTCCGTAGTGGTCATCCGCATGCATATTATAATTATCAGCTCCTGTAGCCACCGCTTGAGGTCATAATTGGTGCGGTAATGGCTCGACACTTCGCGTTCGACTCATTAATTGCCGCGATTTCTTTGTCCATGTCGGATGCGGGCTTGATAATTGCGCAACCATTAGCTTGCTGTCGTCAGAGTTATTGCTGGCACCGGCCCCTCCCACGTGACTAATTCTTTTGCTTAGACAATGTCTCAGTACGCATTATAGAAACGCCAAATCGTTGCGCTTGTTGATGGACTGAGGGCCTGAGAACCATGACTCGAGCAGCTCGCGGTTCACGCGGTTGTCACCTCAGTTATTGGCCTCCTTGAACTTAAAAATAAGGCCGGGTTCCGTCGAGCGAGCGGCAACCTGTGAGTTAGCGTCTTTCTCCCTTATCGCCGCTGCGTGCTCAGCTATTCACGATAGGAGTGCTCTCCCGGTTTTTCCGACGTAGTTGAATTGTCACAACTGCACCGGATCCGGTTAACGACTCAAGCCGTTTCCTGCCGTGGTAGTGGATCTTTCGGTCTTATAACTGGAATGACTGAGAGGTTAATAGATAGGTGCGCAGGGCTGATCTGTGGGAAAGGTGCTTTATCCTCCGTTGAAGTAAGAGGCACTTTCACTCTCTGCAGCATCTTTGGAAAATTAAATTATCGGGTGTGAAGGTAAAAGCTAATGCTGACAGTCATCAGAGAACGCAAAAATCGCATGCTGCAGGGGCATCATAAATCTGTGTTTGGACGAATCTCATTTGTAGTCTTTTTGCAGATTGAAAAACTCCTACTCCTACTTATGATTGTTTCCCGTGGATACTGGGCCTAATGAAGCTTAACCTGCGTCTAAATTACCACATATGGACTGAGTTTGAAATCATCGTTGTCATTAATACCATATTCGAATAAGTCGCCCATGATTGCAACGGCCCAAATACGTCTGCCTATTTGAAACCCTCTTATGTACTAGTAATGACGTTAAAGGAACACGATCCGTCTCGATCTGTCTTTTACTGCTAGTTTGTTTGGCCTCTTACCATCATGCCGATGCATGATAATCTAGTTATAGGAAATCCCTTAGAGACTGGAAATTGATTGATACGTGCAATATAGACGTTTCAAGATGCCACCTGAAAAAAAATTAGAGAGAAAGGCAAAATGGCAAACAGCCATGAGGCTTGGTAACAAATTTACTACAGATTCATAAAAAAGCTTTTAATCTTTCCCTAACGGTAATATATTTTTAAAAAAAACTTTTTGAAAGAAATGTGTTCGCTTATTCCGTTATAACATCGCAAATTGTTCATATGCTCTGTCCAAGTGGGCAGTATTCTAATACTCAAAACCAATGCGCTTGTCAGGGCGTGATTGAAGGAGCAGAATTGCGTTTGAACTTCACTAGATCTTCTCTTAAATTTAGAATAAGTATTGTAAATTCTTCAGTGTATTTCGTTTGCTATGAACTTGCTTTCCTGTGAGACATAATGATAAGGCACACTTCAACACTAAATAGGAGTCGCTATCACGTTGCTATTATGTTATTATAAAAAGCAATTATTTCCGTAATTTCTCGGAATCTAAGTCGGAGTTTAACTTCAGTAAGACCGATTTATTGTCTGGCGTTGTTTACTGGGATCTAAGTCGCTATGCAGCCTTGTCAATCTTTCTGTAGATTTATGGCTGAATTTGTCACTGAGTGGAACCTAAATACTTTTCACTGAAGGAGATAACAACGGACATACGCCCGTCATTGCACCTGTCATCCATAATTGACAAATCTGATGGCCAAATGTAGAGTATCAGTCAGAACTTCCTCGAAAGCCAGAAAACTTAAGTCTGATGTTAACACGTCAAGCATACTGCACTGTTATCGCATTCGGAGTGTATTTGCCATCGGAGAGTTCAAGGGTAAACAATTTGCCACTCCTCAAATTTAAGTGCTTTCAAACTTCTAATACGTAATATTGCTACACATTGAGTTGGTGGCCCACGCCAGATATCCCTAGCCACTCGTGCTATTGTTACTTTTAGTTTTGTCAGTACAATCTACTAAACTAAACTAACTAAACCCAGCTAAACTACACGAATCTAATTAAACTAATGTGAAAGTAAATTTAAACTAATAAACCAAATATTAAACTATAAAAAAAACAAATACTACCGGTCCCGTAAGACAGCATTCTGGGTCTAGGTGTGTCTAACGTGAGCGACCAACCTCTCTTTTACCGATAATACCGATAAGACGTCTTCTTGTAAAATAAATGCCTTTTTGAATCTTCAAGAGAGTTAAAATTGGTTTTCGGCGCAAATAGAACGAGCAGAACCCGTTGGTATTTCATCAGCACGTTTTTAACTTTGCGAATAAGTTTAGTAATTGTGGTATTATGAGTGTGCTATTCGTATGCATTCATTTTTATTTGAAACCACACAGTTTGCGTCTACAAACAGGAGTACTATTGGCAAAAGTAGGTTATGTAGTGCACCTAATATACCCTCTAGTCCCAGAATTTTGTCCTTCGAAAGTGGTGGTTTTAGAGTTTTTGGGGGTGGGCAAATAGGATAGGCAGCGAAGTAAATCTTTAGAAGTAAGTGTAAAGTGAAAAAATGTAGTCAATTTTGTTTCCCGCGGCCACTGGGATTTAGTTGTTTCGCATGTGAATTGAAGGTGAATGCAGCGCGAAGCGGTAAGTTGGACTTCAGGCAAGTTTAAGTAGACGACCTCCTAATCACCATTTCTACTTTTCAGAAATTTCAAGAAACCTGTAACTTGATATTCGGGTTTTTCCGCAATATGTTAAATGACGATACAGATTAGGAAAATCTACAGCTATAGCTCAACAAAATTTCTAAAACTAGGAAAATAAAAATGCGTATAGCAGTTATTGAAATATATTCCACTGCGTATCCTAATTCCCCACCAACAAAACCGTATATTTACCGTTTTCAAAAAGCAAAATGCTAGGACTAGGGATTAATGGGACGCACCACATAAACTACTGTTGCCATACTATTTAACCAGATTTAAGGGGTAGCTGAAGAATTGCGCATATTATTAAGCACACTGTATGGCGACCAAGTAAAATGAAAGCTAAGTTAAGAGTAACTCCAACTATAACTAGCATTATCGTTCAAATTAATTGCTGCCAATGTGCATCTTTATAAGAATATAATGACCAATTTCTCCCAGCTCACGAGTCGTCCTTCAGTCCACCAAACGATCTTGTGACTTCTTTGCCTCCTACAGAATCAGCAATCTATTTTGAAGTTTCTTTGACTTGTGTCCATTCACAGCTTATTTTCGAAAAAAAGAAATTTATTGATGGAAAGGTGAGTAGGATTACAAGGAGCCTCTAAAATACAACAAATTGACCACATAGTGCAGCAGTCAGCTTCATTGATGTCCCACAACGATATCTGTGCAGAATTAAACCACGGCTAAAATTTCCTTCAAAATTGCCTCGAACATTGTGCAGGTGACATCCTTATCATATCTTAGAAAACTAGAACGAGGAAAATGGGTGAGGTTATATAGAGCGGTCGGATATTTCCCTATCTATAATAATCAACTACTCACAAATTTTCAGTAGGTTGAATTACCTATAATCTTCC